AAGTTTTACGAATTTCAAGAGGTGATAACTTGAGAGGGGGTGGAGATGGAAAAAAATTTTCTTCTAACGAAATAAACTATTTTTTAATGTCTATAAGCCACTAAAATTTCAAGCTTCTACAGTCTGGGGTCTAGAAGAAAAACGACATTAAAAATTTGGAAAAAAAGGACTTTAAATAACGGTAAATTTGAGGGGCCATTTTGTTTTTCTTAAGTTGAACTATAGTATACCGCGCAAGAGGAAGCAAGCCACTGCCTTTCTGCGTTTGCAAAATTTCAAAAATGCTTATGGTTTCATTGCAACAAATATTTAAAAAAGGCCATTTTTAGGGTTTTGGGGGGGTATAACTTCTAGAGGGGGGGAGATAGGTAAAAATTTTGTTCTACGGATATAAGTTTCTAGTGAAGATCTATGTACGTATTAAATTTCAGCTTTCTATCTTCAAAGGTGTAGAAGTTTTGTAATCAGACACACGGACAGACGGACGGACGGACGGACGGACGGACGGACGGACGGACGGACGGACAGAGTGAAACTAATAAGCACTTTTTTCAAAAAATTTTTTGGAAAAGTGCTAAAAAGAAAATTAAGTAATAAAAAAGAAAGATTTTATCCAATTTATAAAATTTTCAGGAAAACCTAGTAGTCTTAACTTTAAAATAATTGTTTCCTGAGGAAGATTATCGAAAGCCTTACTGAAATCAGTATAAATAACGTCAGTCTGATACCCAGCTTCCATGTTATTAATAAAAATTGTTTAAGTTGCCTTAATATAGTTTGTAACCTTGGATTTCTTTATTAAAAAACCGTATTAATTTTTTACAAGAAATTGCGTGCAATGTTTGTAAATGGAATTATATAACATCAATTCAAAATCTTTGGGAGTAAGAGACAATTTAGCTACCGGGCTATATATTTTTACCTAAACCCTAGACACTCTTTCAAGCACTCCCTTCCAATGAAATGGAAAAATTTCCGACGAATATGATTGATTAAAAATGAAAGCGGGAGGGATAACCAGCTATGCGGGGAAACTAAAATTATCTCGGGGATGCCACCCGGTCCTGGAAGCAAACATGAGCCAAGACTATCCAAGTGTTGTTCAAAAATACCGAAATCAGTATACGTAAACCTGAAAACGTAGTCCTAGGATAAGTATTGAGGTGTTGAAAGTTGTCAGAATTCACCATGAAAGGTGAAGAGGTATATGAATCAGCAAAATATGTTCGGAAAAATTAACATACTTTATATGAGTTATTACTAGATGTGCCGTTAAAACTAAGAAAAGTTGGGTAACTATCGCGCTTCCTTCTAAAATTTATGAATTTCCAAAAAGCCTGAGGATTCCAAAACAAATATAATCCGATATTCGAGAAATATACAAATCATATTTCGCGAAGCCACGTGTTTACGCAACAGTTTGTTCTTTTTTTTTGCGGAGAGTTCCTACTTTCCAGATAAAGCTAGGAGGACTATGGAATTAATATCTTTGTTCCGAGTTATTTGAACAAAAAGGGCGAAGGCAAAAACAAACTATTTCGCAGAATCAATTCAGGATGATCAATAGAAAGAATAATATTATACCAGCCAGATGTAAAAAATAAGTTCAGTTGTTTGGAATGATTGTGAACAAACGAGATGTGCTTAAGGCCATTTAAGTGGAGTAAATTTATAAAAGACATTTCAAAGTTCGCGGTACTACTAGTCGAGATCAGATCTTGGACGTAGAGTTTGGCGGAACGTAGCAACTAACTATGACAAATTTCCTGGTTTGAATCTCAATCCTAACAACTTAAAATGCTCAAATAATAACTCGTGTTAATTTATTAATTAAATTCGATTCTAACTGGATAATTGCATAATTACAATGTGTAACCATCAATTAAAATTTTTAAAGAGGACGCAGAGTGAACAAAAATTTGAAATACGATATTGAATTTTAAATTTATTTTAATAATAAAATGCCGGAATTCCCGATAGTTTGGGAATTCCCATAAAAAATTTCAGTAAAATATTGTTAATCTACTATTTATGAAGAGCATTAAAAAATTCTCAGAATTTTATAATCAACTCATAATTTATATTGGAAAAATTATTGAATTAGACTTTCTATTAGATTCTTATAATGTATAACAATGTGTATTTGTATTATCCTTTTAAAAATATTAACAATATTGGAATATTTATAAATATTCAACATAAAAATTAAAAAGAATGTAACCACACAAGCATACTATGTATGTCAGTACGTTGGTATTGCTAAGAGTGTTCATACTACATACATATGTATTTGTAAATACTTTGGGTATAAAGCAAATTATTTTATTTACAAGAAATGGAAAATCTATATGGAAATCCAATTTTTTTTTCTTTATCCAAAATAAATAAGTAAAATTCTTTAGAAAAATTTATTTACAAAAATAAATATTTAATTTTTTCTCATATATTTTGTGTACTCATGTTATTTTTTAAATACTTATTTAAATATGTAAATGATATTGTACGTGCGTGTGTGTTTATGCGTAAATAGTTTAGAAGGATTAAGAATATTGTATAAGATTTCTGAAAAATATTTTTATATTTGTAGGTCTAGTATGACAATTGACTATTAAAAATTTAAAAACAAAATTTGTATAAATTTTACTTTTTAGCTAATTTAAGAATTTTCATAACCTTAACAGCACAATATGATAAACTTAATATTTAAAATTGCAAATTTTCATTCAAGCTTATGTGCTTAGGAAACGGTAAACAAATCGGCTGTAAGGAAAGAGTAAGAGTATATATAGAGAGAAGTAAGATTAAAATTCGCCCCTTCCTTATTAGAATGAAAATTCTAGAAGAAAAAATTCCTTTCATTATAAAATTAATACATACATACATGCATACTCTTAAAATTTGTTTATTTGCTTATACATTTATTAATAAATAATTCCAATAATTCTGCTGTTTATTGTATTTATTAAAATATCATTAATTTGGGTACACTGTAAAAAATGTATGCAAAATTGCTAAAAAATATAGTAATTCTTACTACAATTAATGCAGTATATACGCTAAAGCATATTAAATTTTACTCGATTTGAGAGTAATTTTGCAGTTTACTCGATTAGCGAGTAAATTTACTACAAAATCGAGGAATATTAATGCTGTATGGTAATTTTACTCTGAAAGACAGTAATAATCATGTATAAAGTTGAAAATTACTTCAAAGTAGAGTAGAATTTACTTTGTGAAAGTGATTTTACTTTTTTACGAAGTATTTTTTGACATATTACTATTTTATAGAGTAACTTTTATTGAACAAGTCATCATTTTTGAATTTCTTCTCAGTTTGAATTGAAAACGATCAGAATGAGGTTGTGTTTAGAATAATATTGTGTTTAGAATAAATGCATAAGTTTAAATTTCAAAGTGATTTTAATAAAAATATGAAAATTAAATTTAAGTTATAAATATTTAGTATATTAAAAACTTATATAAAACTTTCAAGTGTAAAATAAAAGTGCAGGTAAAATTTGAAAATTATAAATAACAATCAGTAAATTAAAATTTTTTCTTCTGTTTTGTTTTTTCTTACAAAATAATATTTAACGGAAATTAGCAATTGAAAAAACTTTGCAGCTATATCAGAAAAAAGCCATATACATTAAACAATTAAAAATTCTGAATTATATATTTTAATCATTACGTACTTCGTAATAATATTCATTAAATATCAAATAGAACTAATAACTTTAGGTAAACTTGTGAACTATAAATAAAACATGAGTATTATTAAGTAAATTTAAATTTTTTGATCTTTTTTTTGTTTTTTTAATATTGATATTTATCAAAAAATTTTATTATTTAGAAATTTTTGTAGTTATCACAAAAAGCATACATATACAAATATTTTAGAATTTTTGAATTATTATTATCAAACAATAATATTAATTAAGTATTAAAAATAATTAAAAAATAGCGAATTTTAAGTTTTTTTGTAGAAAATGAAGTGTGAAATTTGTGACTTTCAAACAACGGACATCTTTTCCTATAACAACCATTTGTATTTACATAAAGCCAGAAAAGATATATCTTTTACTTGTATGTTGCCTGATTGTAACAAAAAATTTTCAAAATATGTTTCTTATCAAGTACATTGGTATAGATATCATAGTAAGAAAATAAGAAATTCTACAGAAATAAATTTTTATAGTTGCCATATTTCTAAATGCATATTCCAGTCTAAAAATGTTTCTAAAATTTGTAGCCATTTAATAGAGCATTTAAAAAACAATACGAGTAATAACATAACTTGTCCATTTTCAAAGTGCTTTAAAGTTTTTAAACATGTATTAGCTTTTAAAAGTCATATTTTTAGGGCTCACAATAAAGTCGATTTTAAGAATCAAAACACAAGACCTGAGAATTCGAGCTCCACAAATACAATGCAGAATTTAAACATATTTAACGAAGAAAATAAATTTCTAACTCATATGGGTGTTTTCAATAGGTTCTCCAACTTGTTTTTGAAATTAAAAACTAAATACAATATTAAAGAAACAGGACTTCAGTTTTTATATACTGAGCTGAAGCACATTTTTAATCGCAATGACTTGTCAAATTTACAAACGAATGAAATTTTTTTGAAGGAATTGTGTGAATTTAGTTCCGAGTATAAACGAGAAACCTACATTAAAAAATATTTTAATTATATTTCTCCTAGAAGAATACATCTTGGTATAGATAATTACCACAAGGATTGCTTCTTCTACTATATCCCCATATTAAATACGTTGTCTGTGTTACTTAGTGACAGAAACTTCTTTAAACTTTTCAATAAACAAAAAAAATGTGACAATTATACATATAATGATTATTGTGATGGAAGCGTTTACAAAGATTCTTTTTTCTGCAATTCGAAAAGCATAGAATTACTTTTGTATCACGACGCATTCGAAATATGCAATCCATTAGGATCTGCCAAAACCAAATACAAATTGATAGCGTTTTATATGATGATAGGAAATTTGCCTACAATATATCGAAATAATTCACAAAATATTCAGTTAGTAGCCCTTTGTAAAGAGAAATATGTTAAGGAATTTGGTTTTGATAAAATATTGCACCCTTTAATATCTGATTTAAAAATATTAGAAAATGAGGGACTAAAATTTTCAAATCCTGAAAATAATTCAGAAGAGTATATAAGAGGAAGTGTATTTGCAGTTCTGGGTGACAACTTAGGGAGTCACCAAATTGGGGGGTTTACTGAAAATTTTAGTACCTCAGAATATTTTTGCAGGTTTTGTGTTTATACAAGGGAGGATTTAAAAAACTTTGATTTACATATCAAAACCTTACGAAATCCTGAAAATTATGCAAAATACTTAAACAGCGATTTCGACAAAGGCATAAAATTTAATTCTCCTTTAAACGAGCTTAAATATTTCCATGTATGTCAACCAGGTTTGCCACCATGCTTGTCGCACGATCTTTTCGAAGGAATAATATCATTAGATTTAATGAAAATCTTTAACTATTTTCAAAAAGAAAACATTATTTCGTTACATTGTATTAATCAAACATTATCTTTTTTCGTAAAGAAGTTTAAATTACGTTTATCATTCCCGAAAATGCAATTCAATGCGAAAAAAATTTCTGGAAAATGCGATGAAGTTTGGCACATTATAATTTTGTTACCTCTTATTTTTTTAAAAAGCCCAATAAAATGTAGCGAATCTTTTTGGGGATTTGTGACTTCGATGGTTGAAATATGTCGTATCATATGTTCTCCACAACTTAATAGGGATCAAATACAATTACTAACACATTTCCTGCACACTTATTTTGAATATAGAAAAAAATGTTTTCCGTATGAAAAATTACTTCCAAAACATCACTACGTAATGCATTATCCCGATTTGATTCGAAAATTGGGTCCATTAAAAAGTTTATGGACTATGAATTTTGAGAATAAACATCAATATTTTAAAAGTATAATAAAAAATTCTAAAAATTTTAAAAATGTTGTGTTGACATTATCTGAACGACATCAGCTTATGCAAGCTTCTCTTTTTGATGATAGGTTCAAAACAGGAATTGTCGTCAAAAACGCAATAAATTTCACAAACGATGTATATAATATAAAATTACCAAAAACTTTCACTTTAATTTCAAAAAAAATATCGTACTGCAACACAATTTTCAAAGCAAAAGATTACCTACTAACGAATAAAGATGATTTAGGTAACATAGAAGTTTTAGAAGTGGAAGTGATCTTTATTGACAATTTGCATGAAAACGCTTGCTTTTACGGAAAAGTTAAAAAAATGTACTATAATCAAGAAACAATGTTGTTTGAAAGTTATAAAACAGATGATGATAAATTTAACATGATACGCTATTTGAATGATCTAATTATTATGCAACCTATTCATTTGTTTCATTTTGAAAAAATCTATTACTTCTCCCCAAATCAGTTAATTTTGTAAAATATTAAAAAACAATTTGTTAAAAAAATTAAACATTTATAAATAAGAAAAAGGATAACTATATCTATAGCTACCAAATGTATAATAAATTTAAAAACAATATATTGTGTATCTCAGTAAAGTATAAATCATTTTGTAAATTTTAATTATCAAAACGAGTTTCAAAAAATATTAAATTTAAAATTAAGATTTGAAAAAATGTAAACATTAGAATTAGTAGATATTTTTAATTTCGACTATAAATTTTGCGATAAACCAATTAAATAATCCAATTAATAATCAACTATACCAAATAAATTAACCAATTAATAATCAACACGATGACGCAGTATTTGTTTAAGATATTCTCCGTTAACAGATTGCAAAGAATTACATTTGTATCAGAAGCCGTAATTGAAGTTGTTCTAAAAAAAGGTATGAACATTGTAAAGTTGAATTTTTATTTATAGGTTTTAATAAATGTTCAATTTTAGCTCATGAGAAAGGACTTACTGGCTCTTTTTTTGTTACCGAAACCGATGGCTGCGTTATATTTGACGATAACACTTTAGAATGGTACGCGAAGGAAAAAACAACTTTGATGTTGGTGGAGAAAGAGAGTGATTGGACAGAGGCTCGGTTGTCTATTACATCACTTCTGAATGATTCTGATATTAATGCGTTGAACGTATCAATAGAAGCCGATGGAACGCCAGCCGCATCAATATTACCGAATATAGCTTCTCAGTCATCTTTACAACGTACAACATCTGATGAACTTCATGAAACTGCAGCAGGTTCATCTGCTGAAATAATACCTGAAAATTCCACAAGCTTTAATAAATCAAATTTATCGAAGTATGAGCATGAAATTTCTATCGTACAAACTTCCGATATGGCTTCGAACTGTTCATTAGACACTACATTAACTATGAGTAGTACGGCTACATCATCTCGTTCTGATTCAGTTGAATGCACTAAATTGTTTCGGAGTTTTCAAATACCTTGGGAAAGAATACCGACGGACATTATGGAGTCTCTAGCTAGAAAAGAAAAAATTGGAGGAAATTTAAATAGATTTGTCAACATAATCACCGACGAAATGAGGAATCTTTCATACTTTTTACCAATGAATGCAATTCGCACAGTTTGTGATAAAATTGCTATGAAATATCCGGAATCTTTTCTCGAATGCGATTTAAATGGACATATATTATCTGGAACGCCTTTTTCTTTGATTACAACAATGAAAAATAGAAACAATTTTTTAAACAGGGTGCCTAAGAAAAGAAAGTCTGGAATAGAAGCATGCATACCTATCAAACAACAAAGATTGGCAAATACGCTAATGGAAACTTGTGCAAACTGGCAGCCCCAAGAAATAAATGAAGGGCAATCTTACAATTCGTTGGAATTAAAAAAAAATGCGTTGATAAAGTTACATGAAAAAAATTTCGTTAGTCAAGAAGAACGTGAAACCATTAAGGACTTTATGAAGGAATGTTTTCCTATACAACGCAAATATTTCAATAATATGGATAATATCCCAACTATAATTGAAATACAGCGCAATTGGCCTTTTATGTTTAACAAGGAATATTTATATGATCATTTCGAATTGCTGATGAATTTGAAGGCGAACACTTTTATAATGAATTTTGAAAAAAACAAAGCTAAAATCAACCAAATTGCAAAGAATACCAAAGAAGAAGAAGGGGATGAGTCTACATTCAATGCTATAGTAAATTATTTTAAAGAAAAAATTGATTTGCTTTACATGAAATTTAAGGTAAATATATTCCATATATAATGGCATAAATAAAATTTAATTTTCTTGCAGTTTGGAACCACGATGGAAGATATCATTATATCAATTCCGACGAATGGTCCTTGGTTTGCTATAGTTGGTAAGTTTTCTTTCAAATATTTTTATTCAGTTCATAATTTACATTTCCTTTTGTTTTAGATACTATGTCTGAACAGTGCATAGCGTATATTTTTGCAGAAAAAATATTAATAGTAAAGGAGGAAAATTTTACTTTTGTGGATTTACTTTGCCAGGTTATCAGCTACTATTATGTATTTAACATAGTATATCCAAAAGAAATTTCGCAGTCCCTAGAATTTTGCGTAAGGTATTTTTATAACCACTACTGCGAAAAATTAAGAGGTTCTAAAAAAACAATTTTTAATATGAGCAAAATTACAAATTTTATAAAAAAATTAAACCAATCCGAACTAAAATGAAATAATATTTAGATTTTTGACTTTAAAAAATTCAAAAAAACAAGACGTTATAAATACAAACTTTTGTTAATGATGTTCTCTTTAAATAATAAAAAAAACAATTATTATATTTTAAATTTTATTTTAATTTATCATTTATATAAATTCTATTTGAAATAATTATTTTAATATATATCTGATTATAAGAATAAAGCTTGAAACACATACTTTTACAGAGCCAAAATTTTCAATATTTACATATGTGAAGATATTTCATAAAACAGAAATTTATATTTATATAAGTTTATATTTTAATATTTTGTTTTGAATTTTTTTAATTTTTGTAAAATGTTTTAGTTTTAAGTAATATTAAATAGTTTATAAAAATGAAAATCAAAGCTAAGTTTTGAAAATATTGAAATTATTTAATTTTTTTTGAATAAATTGCAAAACGTGTAAAATGCACAAAAAATTAAAGCATTATGTTTTTTCAACTTAAGTCATTATATTAAAACCCTAATCCTCATAGCAAATTATCTGTTATTTAAAATCAAAATTTTTTTATTGCTCTTTTGTATATGTAAATAAACCATTTATTATATTTAAGTGCCAAAAATTTTTATATTAGACTACATAATATTTATAAAAATTTCAATAAGGCAATTTAAAGTTCCATAAAAAATATTGGAAGATAAAAATGACGCAATATTACTCGTATAAATAGTATAACTTCTACTCGAGTGAAGTAAATTACTCCTTTGGCAGGAGGAATAAATCACTATACCTGAATGTAAAATTAATCGTTCAGATTATTATTACTCATCGAAGAGTAACTTTTGTTCTATTTTGTAAAGTAAATTTCCTCTACAATCTAGTAAAAAATTTACTCTACAAAAAAGTAAAATTCGTGAATTACTCGCCGGTGTAATATTTTACTATCGTCGAGCATTTTCACTACAATTATACTAGGAATTCAGATTCCTAGTATTATTGTAGTAATTTTACACGATTTTTTTTTACAGTGTACATCTTTGAAAATATGAAAATAAGATCAGAAAATTACAATTCTGAGAAATGAAATTTTCTTAGAAATTTATAATCAGAATTGATTTTTATAAATTTTTACATTTTGTCTGTTTTTCTTTTTTGTTTTCTTCAAATGTTTTTTAATAATATTAATTTGAAAAATATCATTTCAATCATTTTTTGACAATTTGCTTTAGAGATTAAAGATTAATTTTAGCAGCAAATGTGGCAATTTTTATTGGCAAACATTTTTCTATTAAAATAATTTTTGCAGGAATGATTTTTAGTTTCTCGCTTTGTTTCATTGGGAAATTAATGAAATAGTTTGATTTTTTTTGTAAAAATTTTTGCAAGTTCTATAATAAAAATTTTAAGATGTCTCCTTGATTTTAACAAGCCTATTAGCGAAGGTATTTATCTATCCAAGTCCAGACCCTGTCATTGTTGTAAAAATGATTTTTTTAAATATTTCTTGCGAAATATAAATGACAAAACAAGAATTTTTAATTTTTAGGTAAATCGAAGAAAAGTTCATCAAATGAAAAATAACACGAAAATATTCTTGTAATATCACGGTCATATGAATATAAAGTAACATGTATTAATATAAATTTCAGATTTCGCCAATCTCACAAAATCCGTCAAAAACTTTACTAGGGACGGATTTTGCGTCATAGAAAACGCAAGTACTAAAGTTTCGGTGTTTGGGATTTCACGATGATCTCATGGAAATTCGTGGGTTATTTTTCTTCATTTTCTTTGACAGAACTTATATATTATAAATTTTAAAGATATCCGATCTATAGGGAAGGTATATTTGCTAGCCCCTGATATACTACAAAAGCTGATCAACTCGTTACATTTCCAAAATTGGTTTAAATATAAATTTTCATTAAAAGCGATTAAGAAAATTGGGGTAAACGATTCACCAACAGATCGATATCCCAGCATTTCACTAAAAAAATTTTTTATATGTGTGCTGCTCTATGATATAAAAGTAAGTTTCCTACAGAAATTCCTTTTGCACACACAAGTATGTAGTAGTTAAGAATTAAACAAGATATTAAGCAAAGATTCATTTTTCAATTCTAAACTCTTCGCATTCAACTCATTTTGGTTTTTAAATGTGAACTTGACTGTTAAATGTGTAAAATAAAATTTATGATTTGATATAATTCCAGTGTTGGAAAATTCGATTTAATTTTGAAAATATCATTGGGGGTTATTTGTTACATTAATTAAAAAATTCCGTGGGTAGTGGTTAATACAAGATCAACATGTAGGAAAAATAAATATTCGCTTTTTTGTTTTCTCATATTCATTCATTTCCTGTGGCATTGAAAAATCAATTTAACCTAAAATAATAAAATAAAAGAAAACAAAAACGTTATTCTCAAGTTTTAGAGAAAAATTCAAAAATGTCAACAGATTATTAAAATTTTTTTTGATATTCGCGAATTGCTTAACGTCATTAGTATCTCGAGAGAAATTCATTTACCCTAATGGCTTATAGCCTTAAGTGATATGAAAAATTTGTTTTGTATTTTGTTATTTTGCAAAGCTTGAATTTTTTAAATTAGCATTCGTTTTTGTTTATTTTTGTTTGTAAATAGAACGCCTACAAAGTAAGGTCGCAAAATTGTATAAATTTGCATAGAATTTATTTTTTCGTTCGAATTAATTTTAAACACAATTTTTTTTAAGCATGGTTTTTATTTTATTTTATTAAGGAAAAACGAATTCAAAAGAAAAATTTTTTTTCGATATATAGACTAGAAGGAAATAATTTCCAATATTGCGAAAGGACAATAAAGATCTTAGGTTTAGTACAAAAATTGAGTGATGAACTATTTACGGAAATGCAGCAATCTTTGATTTTCGCAAAATTTTGGATGAAAATGAAAACTTCTGTTATATTTCGGAGTTTAGAAAGATTGCTTAAAAAATTGCTCAAAAAGCAACTTGAAATATCGTCAGAATTAAAAAATAGTTACAATTTAATGGGTATTTGATCCTGGAAAAGTTGTTGTTTTCTTCGAACTATTAATATTCTTTATTATAATTTAAAACCATTAATCCCATTATTACCATTAGTAGCATAATGTTATCTTTTTAAAGTGACAAATCTCTACTTGGGCAAATTGAAACTGGAACAATTAAGTTCATAGCCATTATTAACACTGTAGCAATTTAATAGCTAGGTAACAGCTTACAGACCATAGCTATTAATATTGTTAACTCCTTTATATTGTAAAATCGATTTATAAAATCAAATACAGCTAAACAATTTTGAGAGAGTCCCGTATTTGAAAAATATCTGTACACTGGCTATTTTAACCTTTATATATACCAGAAATCAAATTATAACAAAAATTTGAATTACATTTATTCGAATATATTTTTTAACAATAATTTTTTGTAGATGTTATTTGTCAGTTACTGAACATTTTCTCATATCTGTTTTTTTTTCTAATTGGATTGATTGGAAATTTAAATAATATTTTTAAAAATTTAAATAATCTCTAATTTATTATTGAAAATTAGAAACGAAAAATAATTGAGAAAAACCTTCTAAAAATAATTTCTAAATCCTTAAATTTCAATAGAAATTAAAAAAAAAAATATTTTTAAAAATAATCAAATTAAGATTTTAATTACGTTAATTTAGTTAAAATTTTCTCCAAAATTTATTTAAAATATAATTGACCCAATTTCGAGATAAGAAGGAATAATGCAAAAAAAAAATATTGTTCTTGAAATTTTTCGAAATAACAAAGTTTTGTTTTCTTTTTGGTTCAACAAGAAGAAAAATGGAAAAGTTTAAAGTGCAAAATTTAGATGGCAACAGAAAAATCGCATTTGTAACAAATTTTTGATATCATGACAGATTTCGCTTGTCTTACTTAATTATTAATATTATGAAAAATCCCACACAGACTTGAAAAAACGAAGCTTATAAGAAATTTTGTAAGGAAATTTAAATTGAATTAAATTAAGATTAAGAAATTAAATTAAGATTAAGAAAGTGAAGGTATGATGAGTTCCTCCATTTTGTATCCATATTAAATAGGACTAAAAAATGGAAGCTTCATTCAAATGGAATAGTTCACACTGTAAATTTTATTAGAAATGTTTATATAAATATTACTTTCGATCTCAATTCAATATGCAACACACATAACATACAAACTCTTAAAACTATTCTACTCTCATGCGATAAATTTAATTTGAGTACGATACCAACAATATTGCAGTGCAATGTAAAACAAAATAAACATTTTTAAATAAATTTTTTGAGAAGGCGGAAATTTTCGAAAATTTGTTAATATCGAGTTTTTCGAACTGAATTGAAATTAGATCAAATTCCATCTGTTACTTAAAAATTTTTCTTTTTACTTTTTCCATCTTTAATGATTCGAACTCAAATTTTAATTACAAATTTCGGTTCATTCGTAAGGTTCATTTGTCTCCGTATTTTACTGGCTGACTAAAACTATATTGTAGATATTGAAATTCCGAAATTAAGATATGTTTTACGAAAGAACTTTTTCTGGTAGGTTATGTCTACTCTAGAATTTTTATAGAAAGGTATTTGCTTAACTAATTCTGTTTGCTTCTAAATTATTTCACATACATTGGCAATATTTGTGTTCAGAACTTTAGAATTTACTGCACTATTTTTTATTATGAAATTTTAAAAAATAATTTTTATTTAGCAAAACGTTGGCTTGCTAAATAAAAGTTTATTATTTTGAATAAATTGCCTATCCAACGAATAATTATTTTAAAAATAATTTGCCCAATAACTTTAGAAAAAACAATTACCTAATGCTTTTAATATCTAAAGAAGGCAAAAAATTAATTACTTCACCAAACTAACTTGTTGCATATTTTCAGGAGAAATGTTAAAGGAATAATTTTGAAAAACTTTATTAAAGCAATCAAGAATAACTTTTTTAATGAAAAGTGGTTGTTGTCATCTTCTTCTGTGCTCATTTTATTATTAATTTTCTCAAAAGTACGTGGCAGATAATTGTAAGGGATGGAATTGAATTTTGCATATATTAAGGGTTATCAATTGCAAAATAAAATTATATAGAGCAACATCTTCTTTTCCTTATAAATTTAAATATTTTTTGATTTTTACAAATTGTTAAAATGTTAAATTTTTTAGTTTAATGCTTAACCTATCCGAAATAGCGGTAAGTTTCATGAGTTATTCCGGCATACATACATAATTTTAATTAATTAAGATAGAAAGAAAGGGTTTTGATAATAGAACACTGTCCATCTAAATAGCCCAAAAAGTTTCCGACAGCATATTATTTTTAAGACTGATAGAGTACAGCTATTAGATCTTTTTTGAAAAATTCTTAAAAGTATGCTGAAAAATCAACAGGAAATTTATGCTGCAAAATATGTTAATGTTAAAATAATCTTACTCGTATTAGCAAAATATTATAAAATTAAAAAATTTTTACCTTTTAAATTTTAGTCCTTAATATATCCTTTTTTGAATAAGAATGCTATTAGTATTTAAGATATATGAATTTTATGTGAATTTTTAAGTTAAAAATTTCAATTAACGACATTAAGACCAAGTGCTTGGAAATGTCACTTAAAGTTATTTATGTCGAAAAATCATTTTATTATTTTTATCTTTTTATTTTATATAACTAATTTTTTGTGTAATTTATTCAACAATTAAATTCTTAAAACACATTATTTGTAATAACATTTAGATGAACAAGAAACACATTTTTTTTTAATTATCATGTAACACACGCTGCACTTGAATTCACTTGAATTATTAACAATTTTTGAACATTATGTACAATAATTAGCTTGAAATATGCAACAAATAAGAAACTATCAATTAAGTACTATATGAAATTCTTCTTCAAGACTTTGATTACTAACATTTAGCTTTTTTTTCTTAAATAACTAAATTTCTAGAGTAAACAGTTGGAAAATCTTATTAAATCTTAAATTTTATGATTATCATTTTATTATACAAGAATTAATTTTAATTTAATATTAATTTTTAACAACTAATTTATTTGTTATATGGAATTAAATTATTTCAATCCAGAATATCAATATTTTTCTCTAGCACTTCTCTAAAATAGTACAAACTGAGGAGACAAAATTGAATCGCTATCAGTCTTCAAACGCACAGAGAACTACAAAACATTTTTCAATTTTCAATTTTAAATTCAACTTCTTCCGAAATTATTTATGTGATTTTAAATTCTTGTGCAATTTATTTTATGGATTTGCATTGAAAACATTAATTTTTAACATTAAATAATAATTTTACAAAACTACACTCACGAAAGTACGAGTATTTTATAAAAACTTTTAAGTTATTTTTTTCTCATATTTTACTATATAATTCTCAAATTACCACCTGCATACAAAAATTCATTCACGAAATAGTCTTTATGAATAAATAAAATGATGTGCATACAAGGATATTTTTCTTAACTTTGCCATTAACACCATCATTATAATATGCACACAAATACACACGCTGATTTTTCTAAGTGCGATTATAAAAAAAAAACTTATGAGAAAAGCAAAAATTTTGAATAAAATTCAAAAAAAAAAGTTTTTTATAAAGCAAAGTTTTCAAGGATATTATCCAACTAAATTAAGGACATTATTCAGGTTTTTATATTTTACCTTCATATACTGATATTAATGAATATTAAATGTGCATTCAATTTGGCATTATGCAGCACTTAAGTTAAATTGGACTTTAGTTTATTCAAAAATATGCACTACTATTGCTCACTACCAAACCAATTTTGTGTACAACAATATAGTCATTCAGAAACAGCTTGTATTATGAAAAATAAAGGAATAATAACAATTTTCTCTCTATTAAAGCAGTTAAAATGCTTTAAAAAAACGCGGTTAACACGGTTTTTATGTTTTTATGATTTTTTTGCTTTTTTGTTTTAATTTTTTATTTTTCTTTTACAAAAACTAATTTCTTCTCCTTATTTTCAATTTATACTCTTGTTATAAAGCACATCCTTAACGATACATAGCCGGGTAAAGACTGAAAATGAAAATATACCAATCTGGAGAACCTCACAGGATCAAAAAACAAAACAGAAAATAAATTTTTTTTTTTTGAAAAATAACTTGTTTCTTACATACAAATATTTTTTATAACTGTATTTGTATTTCAGATTATTTTAAGTGTTATACTGAAAACAACTGTTATACATAATTAACAAAATCAAGTCTGAATGTATAGAAAAAAGTATAGCAAAGAAAAACTATAATATAAAAACAAATTTAAAGGAAAATTTTTTATAAGAAGCCTATTTGGTTTTTGTGTGTGTATTAGCCTTAACATGCATATTGATATACACGTATATAATGCATGTAAATATGTATGCAAAATTTAAAATTTTAAATGTTATATGTATGTAAATTAATATATAAAAAAACTAAAATGTGCACGTAAATCGCTAAAATATACGTAAACTACTCGTATGTAGAGTGTCCGTATATTGCAAAACGTCAGCATTTACATGGGATTTCGGCTGATATTGTCGTCACCTGTTCATTAAGTAAACATAAAATCATAACAATAATAAAAAACTCATTCTAAATGTAGATCTATAGGACTATTTGAAATAAATAAGTACAAACGGGTGTAAATATTTAAATATGTATTGTGAATTAAAGATAAGAAATTCTACAATGAAATGAAAAGAAAACGTTGCTTGAATGCCCCCTAGTGGAAAAGTGAAATTTTATTTTCGCTTTTGTTTTAAAATAGGAGAGGAAATAATTTGAAAGCAAAAATTAAATATAACGATTAAAGAAATTGAAATAAAATCTTTTTTTTAATATTTTGAAAATCTTGCATATTTTTAGGGCCCGATGAAATTTAAAATTCTTTGTAAAATAAAGAATTTCGCATTTTGAATTATTAAAACTAAGTTGAGCTTTTAAACCTAATTTATAAACATTTTCTTCATTCATAAATATT